GCATTGGTATTTGTTCATTTATAAAGCTTTGGAACAGATCCTTCCACCCTATATCTCATCCCTTTAACTCTGACCTCACATAAACGTGGTACTCGCTCACAGAATAGCTTGTTGCTTCACTCTCTCTCTTCACTCCCATAATCAGAGCTGAACAAGGAAAAATGTCATTCTCTTACAGTGCTGCTTATACATGGAATAATCTGCAGAAGACCTCAACTTGGATGCTCAGCCACACTAATGGCTGTTTAAATGCCTTATTTATGATCTTGTGCTAATTGAGTGTAAATGCTTTTAACTATAGGCTACATCTAAAACAATAACATGTTTATTATCCTGTATTTGTACTTTTAGCGATCATATACTGCTATTGTTGTTTGTTGTTTTGTATGATTTCATTTCTGTTTTAACTGATATGCATGATGGTTCTTTGTTTGCTTATTGATTGTTTTTAATGTCTCTGTTCATGCTTGGCATCACTGAAAATGTGGGTCTCTCTCAGTTGACTTTTGGGGTTTAAAAATAAAGGTTTGAATGAATTTATATTGACATCTTTTCAGTCATAGTATACTACACTATTGTCAGTTGTCAGTACATGTCTGTCAGTGTGTTTGAGCACTGACATTGTGGACTTAACTCCATACTGATATGACATCATAATTCACACCTGCTTGATTTTTCAATACACCTACACACACAGGACATGCATTGTTAGCACTGACTGTTCTCTCCTTCACAGAGCTGATGGACCCAATGACAAGTCACAGCACAATAACACTGTGACTGGAAATGTTCCTCTCTGCTGCTTTTCTCACCACACCCCAGGGCGATGTCACCTCATGAAGGTGTTAACTGGGAGGAAATATGTGACCTTTAAGTTAGGTGACAGATTCTGCTGATTGAAATGGACCACTTTCTTAGCTTATGATAAATTGATATATTTTTGATTTTAGAATCTGTTGTAAAAATCACAGCTTTATATTTATAATAAAGAGTTACTTTTTGTTATATATAATAAAATATACAACAAAATAGTTTGAGACTCTGTAAGCAAAATGAAATAAACTCAACGAAAAAATTCTGACTGTTAAGAAAACCAACAAAGCCAGAACATATGGCATTTAATTTGACATTACAATGAGATTTTTTGTAAAGCTCATTGGTTTTTGTAAGACTTTATTTATATAACAGGCTTAAGATTATAACTTAAACGTTTCTTGCACATCTCTTGTTGATAACCTCACCAGTCATACTCCCAACATCACGTATGGTCTAACTGTACTCACTGGTAATGTCTAACTGAATTGAAAACAAAGAAGCCTTGTTCTTTAAATGTGATTTAACCAATTCCGGCTAACATGCTGTTATGAGGCTACAATATTCCTGTTTACTTTCATCCAGCTAATTTGGATCTTTGAAGCCAATACTCAGTGCCCAGTGAGTGACCCTGACCTGGGGAACCCACTGGTTGTTCTGGTTGTCACTGGTTGTGAACATTAAATTGTTGTTACTGTACTGACACACATTTTATAGTTCTGCATTGAATCGATGCGTAGGTTACGCCTTAGGCTCCACGTTGACGTAGAGTCTACGGCGTAACCTACACCGTAGCCTAACGTGCACCGCAGACCTCCAGTCTGTCGCTGTATACTGACACCATTTCCCTCAGTGGAAACGGAGCTTGTATTTAGTTTTAGTTCACAGATAAGAAACAATAAATTGTGAAGACAGTAAGGCCTCCACTAAAATAGCATTTAAAGTCAGTCGTGGCACTTTAGCCCATTCTTATTCTGAAACTATCAAATATAACAGCCTGGTGAGTGGCCCTTGGCTTCTGTTACTGATGCACAAGAGCGTCTGTATAAGATGCATTACACCCACAAAAGACTTTCACCCTGGGGACCGGTGTTTGTGTCCCAACTCGAGTTTTTTAACCATGTCACATAGTCACTGGTGTATGTTACATGACATGGTAGTCAGGTTTTTCCAAACCTAACCAATTCATTTTGTTATGTAAACCCAGGGTCCTTACCTGGGGGTTTGTGACCCTAGAGTCCTCAGAGTTACTGCAGGGGGGCTGCAAAAATATTTATTTGATAATTTAATTCAAGTTTTAATGGCTGTATTAGTGAAAGGACATTTTTGTGAGCCACAATGGATCATTTTGTAATATTTTGAAAGCACAGGCAAAAGTGCAGAGGGACTAATACACCTAGCATGCTACAGCTGCTGCTGACTGAGCAGTTACAGTCAAATGCAAACAAGAAAAGACCCCAAAATATTCAGAGAATAATCTTGGGTGCAACTCATATATACAATATATCTCTCTTTGAGCTAAGGGGTAAAGAAGGAAATAGCAGCAGAATTGCAGCGGTCAGGTGAGCAACCTAGCAGCTAGCAAACACACACACTGACACACTGCAGTATAGTGCCCCGAATGTTAAGTTATTTAATAATGTTACAGTCTATGTTGTGCTTCACAGTTGGAGGAGTAATAACCTGTGCAGCGTCCTTCAGGATCAGTAAGGGTACATCGTGGCCTGTGATTCAGTAGGTGCTGTCACTATACAGTCTGCATACATTAAACCTGATACCTGATACCTGACCATACCCAAGTTTATTAGATCCATGTCGCACAGTATAGCTTGCACTAAACTTATAATATTGCTAAAATTTTACAGTCTGTAGGAGGCTTTAGGGATTTCCAGGAATATCCACACTTTCAGCACTGTTAATTATTTTATATTCCATTTTTGCTCATATAATGGTTCCAGATATAAATGAAGCCAGCTTTAAAGAACCAAAAGATCCAAACTCATGACAAGCTGTCAACATTAAATCTGTATAACTCTCTTCTTAATGTATGAAGAAGGGGGTCATGGCCTTGAGGATTTGTTGCTGAGAGAAGAGTTTCAGGTTATTATTAATCCAGCTTCAAAGAACCAAAGTAATTCAGATTTATTTAAAATTGTTAACATGCTATTCAAATGTGACCGATTTATCCAGAATAGCGCCCATGCTTATCTGTGTAGTATTGATGTGATGAGTCACACACATTGAGACATTCATTCCTGATGTTGCTCTCAGTTGTTCAGAAGTAGTTGTGTGAAGAATGAAAAAAAAAGCTTGAGAGAGAAGTTCAAACCCAGTCTGATTTCACACCATCACACACCTGTTGCTTGAAGTGGTTGTTCTTGTCAGATAACAGGGTTCAAAGTCAAGAAAAATATCATATGGAGCAACCCTTATTCCAGTGTTGAACAAACTCTTTGTTTATTTCATGCTGAGGCCTTTAGAGAGGGTGGTGAGGTGTATAAAGTAACTGTCTTCACCACTAGAGATTTTGGTTGATTTTTACTTCTACTAAAAAAAGCAATTTATCATCTGCAATTAGTCCAAAATGCAGCTGCTCAGCTTCTAAGTGGCACTACAAGAGGAGAACATATTAACCCTATTTCAGCATCTCTTTGTTTCCATTGCTTCCAGAATGCAGTATGAAATACATTTAAAGGAATACTTAACCCCCTGCTGAATCAATTGTAAAGCCCTATAACAAATTTGTTATATTTAATTTTGGTTTTAACTTGTGTGATTCAGGCATCTTCCTGTGACCCCAAGCAAAAAGCACAACACACACTCACTCAGTAATCTGAGATATTGATTATTTATCTGCTTTAGAATCACAAAACACCACACATCTACAGACTCTTTTCCTCCAAAAACTGATAAAAGTGACAACAGCAGTGGACAAAACACAAGATGATCAGAGTAACTTTATCCCAAAGCTGACCTGTGTTTGGGGGCACTATGGAGCCCGCCAGTCCCAATCACTGCAGAACTTTGCAATTTTTACCAGTTCTAATCTGTATGCCAATTTTTGTTAGTTTTATGAGCGTTCTAAGCCCCTCTCTAATGCAGTTACATGGTAGAAAAGATAGTGATAATCTCTACAAAAGCAATAGGATCCAGGGCCTTTTAAGGCCAAGCTTGGGCCATAAAAATGTCTTGCAAAAAGGGCTCTTATCTCATTCATCCACTTGTATGCACAGTACTTCCCCAACAGATATATTTTCAAGATGGGGAGCCGAACTAAAAATGAAACTTATTTACACCAAGGATTCTCAACCTTTTGCATGTCAACGACTCCTAAATTGATACACATCAGGTCACTGACCCCCATTTAAGACCTCACTAAAAAGATTTTGGTTGTTAGATGGGATAGGGACCAGAATTCTATAGTTGTCAGCTACATTTGGGAAGGAAGTGAAACCTTGTTTTTACATTTATTTCCTTAAGTTGCTTAATATAAGCACGGGGTTGGTTTAGAAAAAAAAAAAACATCATGGCTCGGCTTAGAATTAATACAGCTGTTACTACCGTCATGTAATTACTGTAGCATGCTACACATACTAGCACACTACGTTGTTACTAACGTGCAGAGGGCGACCAGACGGTCAAAATATTCTCTCTTTTGACTCTTACTCACATTGGGCTCACTTCTGTAGTGAGTAAATAGTTAAAGATTAACTATTCCTCATGTTTCTGGGGACCAGCTTTAACTCCCTTAAGGACCCCCAGGGGTCCCTGGACCCCTGGTTGAGAACCACTGATCTATGCTCTCCTCTAAGCCAGACTCCATTGACAAAACCAGTAATTTTACAACACTGAACACCAGAGTTGCTAGTCTACCACTGCCATGATCAGTAGTTTGTTTGTGGTATTGTGTGATGTCACTTAAGCCTTCAACAAGTGGTAACTGTACATATCCTGTGGACATGGAAGTTTATTTTGAAAGGACATAATGCATGTAACAAATAGATATTGACACGCTGTCCTTGAGCATCCAAAAGAGATTCAAGAGAGGTACCTAAAACGTCATAGTTTGATGTGCAGGGCCACTGACCAAAAGTCAGTATTTGACGAGTTGGAAGTGACATTACGTTATAAAAAGTGTTACACTGTTCAACTCCAAGGCTAGCTATATTTCAAGTTTCAAGTTTCGATTTCAATTTTTTTTATTGATATAGCACTTTAAAAAACAAACACCAAAATGCTTCACAAAGACAGATGTATACATATACACATTAGAGACATAAAAGTGCATAAATGAATCTCTGATCTGCAGAGCCCATAAAAGGGCTCATGTTTGGTTTTACTTTTCACTGTATACTTTGATTACTGTCCCTCATATACATTGTTAAAGTATTTTATGAAAATGTTATTAAAAGTGCTTTATAAATAAGATTAATGATACTGTTATTATAAACTCTTTCAAACTAAACCAAGTAGTTTCACCAAACTCTAATGGTTTAACAAGTACTTAGTGTGAAGCACACCGGGGCCCTGAGCAGACAACCAACAATCAAATAAAGAAAACAGTCTCATTTTGCTTTCTGTTTTTTGAAGAGTACATATTTCAGGTGGGATAATGAGGAATAAAGAAACATTGTTTACAGTAAGCAGTAGGTTGTCATAAAGAGAAACTTGCCTCCGTGGTTTCAACAAATGGAAAATGCTTATTTATGGTTACACACAAGTTCCCACTTCCGCTTTCATACAGTGCACTGCCAACCTCTTAAGATTTGTTTCTGTGGTGTGCAGTTCCTCATTGTTTAACAACACTGCACGGCTGACTGAAACACGTGTGATCCTTCATCATTTGTTACTGCATGGTATTTGACATCAGCAATTGTAACATCAGCAGTCCCAAACAAAAAAAACAACAACACCTTAGCGGCCCAAAAGCATAAAAAGATTAAATCTTAGCTGTTGACCCAGCTCTCCAGGTCCTGATAAACTTTATTGGCTGGTAAAGTGGGGTAGCTGACACAGATTTGACACAGCCGTTCTCTCCAGTCAGTGTAGGTTTTTATTCTGTGACTGCGGTGCCACTGCAAGTACCCCTCATAGGCCTGTCTGTCTGCAGCCACATGCTTCAGATAGGCAGCCAGATCTGCTGCGCTCTTAAAATCAGCCACATGGATAAAGGAACCAGGAGGTGCCAGGGCTTCGTAGGTTGCCCTGCTGGGGCCGAGAACCACTGGTACGGCCCCCGCTTGGAAAGCGTTCCTCCAGAGCTTCTCACTGATGTAGTCCTTTGCTACAGAGTTCTCAAAAGACAGGTAAAATTTACACTTTGCAATTGTGGGTAACAGGCCCTTCTTCGACAGCGGTTTCTTGCTCCACCTACCATACACCACTATAGGGATATACTTCTTCAGACTTTGGTAAACAGCAGCCCGAACCTGGTGTAACCGGTATCTGCTGACTACCCAGCTGACAAGGCAGGAGCGATTTGGAGCAGCCTGGAATGGTAGTTCACTACTTCCCAGCATGGTCTTTCCATAAGGTACGGATATGTCTGCATCACGTCTGTAGCTCATCGTCCAGTTGAAGAGGCCGGTGAGCTGTGAGAGGTTTGCGTTGTTGACAGGAGGTTCCATGGACAACCACACCCAATGCTGGGAGGCTGGGCGATTCAGGTGCAGGGGCAGCGAAGACGGACCTCGGCTCAGCTCCTGGTGGTGGAAAACAACCACATCAGCAGTGGAGAAGGTGGAGGTGTTGTCAGTAAGGAAACAGCCACTAATGTTATACATCTCAAGACATTTATCTCCGTCAAGCTTGTAAGAGCGACCAAACGGCCAGTGCCACAGCAGGATGCTAATGTTTCTCTGAGGAACATCTGGAGGATATTTCTGCAAATAGAGCTGTAGGTCCAACAAACTGTAATAAAGCAGGGGCGAGATAGAGATGAGGACAATGAGGAGGAAGACTCGGGATCCAGATGTTGTCATTGCTGCGGGCGTATTCCAGGTCAAAAGGGCACAGATCACTGGTATGGAACTCTTAGAGAGGAAGGAAGGGTAGATCAGAGATGATATTCTGCTTTCATATTTCTCATCAATGCAAGAACTGCAGAGGGCAAGGTGTCAACAACAAAAACATCTCCTGATATGAAATACATTTAATTCTTTTTTAACTCCCCCAATTTTTTTCTTTTCAGTTATACAACCTTTTTCAGTTGGCTAGTTTTGTTACTAGTGAGTTTGCATCAGAGATGTAACAACACATAAATAAAATGCTTTAAGGAAAATGCAGTAATCATTAGGTATTTTTCTAATCTCTTTTTTTTTTGGTTTGTTTGTTTGTTTACAAAGGAGTAATAAAACTCTAGCAGAACATTTAATGAATTCTACACAGCTGTTTGTCAATTCAATATTTTTTGGCAAATCTGTGCTTTACTTAACTTTTTATATTTCTGTCAACTTCCACCTTTACTCCACTACATTTCCTAACTAAAGTGTACACTTCTACATCAATACATTCTCCCTAAGCATCTTAGTTGCGTACTACAAAATAAGGAAAGAAGGGCTGAAGGGATGGATGGATGGATAAATGAAGGACAATGGGTGAAGAAACAACTGGATTTCGTCCTTTAAATCCTTTATGTTCTGAAAAGAGTGTAATGTACACTCCATTTTTAGGGTGGTGTATGTTATGAAGAAATAAACCTCAAAATTCTCAACTCAAAATTCTAACTGCTGTTTTGTTTTTTAATAACAGCTTTGACTTTACTTTCAGCACTTAATTACATTGAATATCACAAAGTAATGTTTATACTTCAGTACAATAAATATCAGATACTTTAAGACTAAAATTCTAATAGGTGATTCTAACTTTTACCAAAGTCATTTTGTGGTGAGATAACTGTATTTTTAGTCAAGCGTGGCTTTCAGGTACTTCATCCACCGGTGTTTGAATGCTAAATTGAACCATTTCATCAAATAATTAATACAGGTGACTGATCAAAGTCATTTCTAAGTAAAGCAAAGCAAAATATTAATCTGTATGTTTTTATAACAGTAAGTCCTTTTTTGCGGAGCATATTTTAATAACTATCTTTGTGGGTTGATGATAAGGCATTTTGTAACATGTAAGTGGCAGCAAGACTTCTAAAGATGGCACACCCTGAAAGCCATGTACACCACAAACTCAGCCCTAATTTCACAACGGAATGTTCGAAGAGAGATAAGAAAAAAGAAAGAGAGAAAGAGAATTAAATTTCTAAACAAAATCCTGAGACCTCATTTTCACAGTTTCCATCCCTCTGAGACACATACAGTAACATTCTGTACACCATGAATTTGTAGTAGAATTTAGATATCAGCAGATGGATTTAGAGGAAATAAAAATGAGGCTGGCAGAAGTGTTGCCACTTACCGAGTGACATGGCATCAGGTTGTCTCCTTTGCGTAGAGCTTAGTCTTACTCAAGACATATCAAGGAAATCCTGCCCCCCCCCCCCCCCCCCCCCCCCCCCCCCCCAAAAGTTTTGACTCATCTCTTTCTTGACATTTCTCTCTCTCACACACACACACACACACACACACACACACATACACATACTCACGCAGTGGTCAGCAGAAAAAAGGAGCAGCAACAAAACCCAAAAACAGTCATTTATCCTGTAGTCATTTCAAAAGAATGTTTGTTTTTCATAGAAACTTAACTATGAATTAATAGTATACAGTAAGATCCACTCCAGCTTCTTGGTTGGTACACTGAGTTTGGGCGTGTCTCCTCTCATGTTTAACCGGGTATGGTTTAGAGATTGGTAAAGCCCTCGCCCATCACCACAGACAGCTGCCACCCTGTTTCACACGCCTCTATTTAGCTGTCAAACTGCTCATGCATCTGCTGTTTGCAGGATTGGCACAGCAAATGAGTGGCAGTCAAAAACGGTAACATTGCTGATTTTCGTTTTTTAAACCACAAGCTGGTCCTCCTCTTCCTGTTCTTGCAACTCTGCAGAGGAAAGGGGCACCGGGTTGCGCAGCTCCTGTAGGCACCAACCACAACTGTTTCAACAGTCTGTTTCGCCTTTGACCTCCTAGTTCACGTTTGAGCTTTACAGCAGAACCTAGCTGTGCCCTCTCTTTACTCCCACACCTTTCCGGTTGATTTACCTTCATGCAGTGCTGAAACTCAAAGTTTTAATTTAATTTGTTCTGTATGTTTTTGAACTAATGTCATGCAGACTTTGGTATGAGACCTTGTTGCTGTGACAACACTTACAGATGAATTTCAAGGAGCTTCAGTGAATGCCAATTATTAATTAAGTGACAGGCCGTCTGCTGAAAGTGTCCTCAGGCCGTCGGTGAGATCCACTAAAGAATGGGCCAAGCTATGGACTGACATTTATAGAGCCAGGCTGCTGTTAGTTGTAATTTGAAATTGATGATGCAGACACTTGCATGCAGGCATGGTTTACTCTGTGTGAACACAACACACAAAAATTTCAAACAGAGAGTTAAACCTCTCTAGGGGCTAACTGACAATTCACTGATGCAGTAGCAGTGCAATGAATTAATAACTTTACTATCTAGCATAACAAACATTTCTGTCTGTACTCTCAATATTTCCCTATTCATAACAATGTGTTGTGGTCATTTACGTAGTTTTTCACTAGTTTTCTATTTACTGGGTTTTAATCTGGTTGATTTGTAAGTAATATCAGTGTTTTTGTTTTTTCACAAAATTGGAACTTGTGGGAGTGCAGATAATGAGGAAGTAAAGGTAATGCCAGCCAAACACAATCACCTTAATGGCATAAATGCACTAGAGGGTGGCACAGGCTCTCATTCATAGTATTTTCTTCAATTTTCTCTATATTTTCATAGTAGGGCTTTTTTCTTCTAATGCAACCGCAACAACGAGAAAACATACTATCATCAACCATAACCTATTTATTTAATGTCCTGGCATGAAACACAGAACATACAGTACCAGTCAAAAGTTTGGACACACTTTTCCATTCAAGTAAATGGGAAAGTGTGTCCAAACTTTTGAGTGGTACTGTATATGTTGTAATCTTGGCCTATTTTGTCAAAAATTAGTGTCAACTTAAGGTGCTGTACCTCTGTTAGCTCTAACTTGCTGACAGGAAAAAAAGACATCTGCATATAGACAACGGCATATAGGACCTTTGTGTCTGTAAAAGGAGAAAGCTACTTCTTCTCAGTGGCTCTGGTGAAGCCATGTGAAGTCTGAGGAAATAACCCTGATGTCATCACAGTATTATCTCAGCTTGGGCTTGGAGACTGCATAATGTGCAACAGTGGAGTTGGACAGACAAGCAGGGAGGGCCTAACAAAAGATGCTATAAAGTTTTGTTATGGAAAATGTAGGATCCAGTGTTTTTGGAGCTTGACCCAAACCAGACTCTAAAGGTTAGGGGTATAGTTCTCAAACTTTTACACCATATACCACCTCAAAAAATACTAGGCTCACTTAGTCCCACCACTGTGACCGAAGTTATTATACAGTAGCATAGGCCTACCCTTTTTAGTGACGGACTGTTCACACAGGAGTTGGGTTTCTGGTCCACTTGTACCTGCTCCCATTGACCCATGCCCTATTGCCATCATACATAAACCATATGTAAGGTCCAGCTATTGTCAAGAGGTGGAGACCTGTCTGAGCAGGATTTTACAGTGCCACAAGGGGTACGCCTTCGCTAGTAGTACTATCTTCACCATGATGATGTAAATCCCATTGGCAAGGGTGGCCCCAGGACAACCAGTCCCCCATCTTGGCCTGTTAAGGCCAGCCACTTGTGCATGTCATTGCATTGCTTACCTGTCAGGGTGTGTTTCCTTAGCCTTTATCTCAACAGACTTTGAACATACCAGAGGGATTATTTGCCCACAGCTGTGACAGTGGTTAGGGGTCTGGGTGTGTCCACACAGGAGTGGGCTGCATGCTGTGTTTCTGGGGCCCATTGCTGCTCAAATATGATGTGTAGTTGAGTCTGGGAATGTGAGGTACCCAATTTCTGTGTGTGGCCAAGGGGAGGCACTGCAGGAGTCTTGTTAGCGGAGGGGCTCTGTACTGGCAGGAGGAGGCTTACACACTCGGCTCCTCTTTTTAGTCCATATTACAGAGCCTTGCCAGCTGCAGAAGCTGTAGCAGGTAGCACGCAGATAGCACAAGGCAGCATGTGGCATGTACCATCTACTAGCAATGGTACACTAAGACACTTCACACACACGTGATCAAGTGTAATGAAATGGGTATACACACACACACACACACACACACACACACACACATATCAGCATGCTAACATGCTCACAATAACAATGCTAACAAGATAATGTTACACAGTTATAACATCTACCATGTTCACCATTTTAGTTTAGCTTCAGGTACACTACATGGTCAAAAGTATGTGGACACTGGAACATTCAACTCATATGTGTTTGCTGAATGTAATTTCAAAACCATGTTCTGCAATAAGAGCCTTCACTATTCTTGTTTCACACTTTCTATTTTCAATTAAGCTTAGTTTCAGTTGGTTTCCAGAGTGGGTTACTTGTTTCAGTTTAGTTTTTATTGTTTGAAGTGTTTTAGTTTAGTTTTCATTGGTTTCAACATTAGTTTTAGTTGTTGTTTTTTATTTTAATATGGGGGGTATTTGTCTTGGTTTGATTTCAAAATGAATTTTGAAAGATGTGGTCACTGAGTGCATTTTGTGTCAAAGCAACTTTAGACCACATTTACCTTTTAATTACAAGTATGGGGGATACTTGTCAGGGCCAAAATTTAAAGGTCCAGATTGTAAAATTTAGTGACATCTAGTGGTGAGGCTGTATATTGCAACCAACTGAAATTTCTTCCATGTCCCAAGCATGTAGGAGAACTAAGATGGTTAACACGATAACGTGAACGGCCCTATCAGGAACCAGTGTTTGGTTTGTCCATTCTGGGCTACTGTAGAAACATGGCAGTGCAACATGGCAGACTCCACAGAAGAGGACCCGCTCCCTGAGTAGATATAAACAGCTCATTCTAAGGTGACTAAAACACAACAGTCCAGGGGCCCTATTTAGATGGTCTAAAGTGGACGGCGGAAGGCTCATAATCCATGTCGCAAGTGTCATTGCTATTTAGATGCAGACGCAGTTGTCATTTTCACGCCCTGCGCCATCTTCGTCTAACTAGCAAATGAACTTGCGCTTCTCTGGGTGTGTTGGTCTAAAAATGAGGAGTGGTCAGGCGCAGTCATGCTAGTTAGATGACGTAAAAAGCAAATGCACCAGTGACCAACAAAAACCTGGTCTAAAGTCAACGGCGCAGTATTTCGCTGTTAAACAAGTTAGTAATATGCGTCTCTAGGCGGGTGCACAACGCGCGTGCACTCTGCTCAGACACACACGGAACAGCCACACATATGCAAAAGATAACAAATAAAAATATGATTACAATGTGAAAGGTTATTATTGTGCACATTAAAATATTTATCAGAAACACGTCTTAATGGTCAGTCATTAATCAGAATGATCTAATCGCAGTAATAATGATCATCATAATCCGGGAGGTCCAAGCTCGCAGTGTCCGGATATACGGAACTGCGAGCAGACCTCCACGGGCTGATGATGCATAGCCTGTAAAATGAACTTGTCTTTCCCCATTGAATTGTGATCATTTTGGCATGTAAATCACAAAATCAAAGATGTGAAAACGTTTGATAAACTTTATTTTGACATAAACACAACAATAACCAGCTTCTGTGAACTAAAAACGTAAACTTATAGCCCTACAAGTACAAATGTATATGTAAAAAAAAAAGCTTTTAGAACGTAAAACTGAAGATCATCTTGTCAGGAGGAGGAGGAGGAGGAGGAGTAGGAGGAGGAGGATGACCCCAGCTCCGCAGCCAGCGCGCAGCCAGACCAGATGGGCCCGGGTGCAGCCATGGGACCAGCCCTTCCTGCACCTTCAGGCGGGGGGTTCAGGATGCTGGAGCGGGAGCTGGGCTCTCTAACCTCCCGGGTTAAAATAAAAAAATTGAATAATTTACAATTTGTTGACAGCGTTTCTCTCGTGCGCACGCGCTCTCTCTTTCTCTCTCGCAGTCTCACGCTTTCTTTTCTTTTGACTTTTCCAAGATGACAGATGCTGAATATATACTCCCTATCTGATGCTGTGGCTGTTTGTGGTTGGCTGAGAGGGATGTGAACTCATTAGTGTGCAGCTGTGTTAATCAAATCAGGTTGGGTTTCCATTACGCGTGCCAAACGTGCCAAACAGTGCCAATCCCCTTTGATCTGACATCAGATGTGACGGGACAGTCGATATAGAGATACATTTATGTGCTGATTGCAGATAGTTGCGTTGAATAGTGTTTTTTGGGTATTTATTGCATTGTTAATGTGCCTGATATTCTGGAAACCTGCCTGTGAGGTTTTGGTGACGTGTGTGCACTGTCTGCCGGTCAGCCAAACTTCGGCTT